ATTCACAAATCTATAATTGCATTTGCAATGGGAGTCAGCATGGTACAACATAAAATGGCATTTGGTACAGTCCTCAAAGCTGCTGGTATATTCTCTATGATGGCACCGATCGGAATCGGTGTTGGAATTGGTGTACTGGATTCGTCGTCTCTCAAATCAAGTAATCTGGCATCTGGGATTCTTCAAGGTATTGCCAATGGAACATTTATATATGTAACTTTTTTTGAAATCTTACAAAGTGAACTGGCTCGCAAAGGCAATCGTCTGCTGAAGGTGTTTTTTATGATTATTGGGTATTCTGTTGTTACTGGGTTACTCTACTATGCGAATCTTATGGAGAGTAAATCACACCCTGTCAGTGCAAAGAATTYCACATCTGCATAGAATGCAAACAATATATCCGTGCAACATTAAATTAAAGTAGTGAAACTTAGTATAATTAGTGAAAAATAGTCGAAGCCTGAATATACTAATTTAGTGTGCACGTGCAATTAGTCGAGCAATGCCTTACAGCGCTTACGCTTTCAAGTTCCAGTGACCACACTATAGATTAACAGATTAATCATAGTTTGTGCTGTTTGTGCTAATTTAGCAAAGTTTAGTAAAAATAAGTGAGGTGAATAGCCAGTTCGGTAATTTCTAGGACTCAAGAGCCAGAGGTTCGCGGCTTAAAACCAAGYTCTACCGCAAAATTAGCACAGAGAACCCAATTACGGAAATGTAGTGAATGCAGTGACGAAATCGTCAAAAGCAATGTATTCTCACGTTTACAGGAAAGTGAGTGAGTGAGTGAAACATTTACCGCATAATTTGTCTACGCCCAATAACTCTAAGATCGCTTACGTGATCTTCAACAAATTATAGAAATTTTTCAAAGCAAACCCGGGAAACAATGCATATAGATATACTGCTAGATACCATTATTTGTTTGCCTGCAAGTTTACTAAGTTTGCAGACAAACTGACAAATGCACGTCGGTGTTTTTACAGACTTTCGACCACGCCAAAAGAAATAAAGGAAATTTCAAAAATTGAACAAAAGATTTAAAAATTAAGTGAGTGTAGAGCCAGGGGGCTAAAAGGCACTTAATGAAAATCTAGCGTTTTTACAAAAAGTTCGGCTAAAAGGACCTGCAAAAGACCACTGACGGTGGAAACTGCGAACTTGACAGACCTTACAAACTTATAATGTCGTATTGTCGCTTAAAGCACTGTTGATAACTATTGATATAGCCTTTATTGATAATATTTTCCATGTATCAAGTAGTTGGATATTGCAAAGTCTTTCTGTTTTAAGTTGAAATACTAATTCCTTTGTTCTGTGCCTTTAGTTAAATCTCTTGATATACATGATACGGGCGATGACCACACCATTGTGTTGTAGTCCTCGTGCTTTTTTAAGTCCGCTACAACAGTCCTCCTGAGCAGTTTTTGCTTTTTCTAAGTGAAGTATTTGACGTTGCTGCACATTGCCTATTGAATAGATAGCAGCTCTGAGTTATTTTTCAGTGTCCTGAATATTCGAGAAAACTTGAAATTTCCTCTATTTTCCCCATTATCCTATTGTCTTCTCTTCTACATCATTACCACAGGGAGCCCATTCTACATTTAGTCTAGTGACAAATTGCGTCACCATGTCACATGACGTCGTCGTTAAGAATCACGCGTTCATCACAGTCACAGCGCAATCTTTTGCCATGTAGAAGGTTTAAACAAAGTTTTAAAGAATTCCAGCCGAGAGTAAACCCCTTGATGTTTATGTGTGTACCATGGAGCATCTAGTGATTAAGATCGTGGTCATATTTTGTTTGTTATGTCTCACTCTTCTCGCAGCACTGCTTCCATTCAAGATCGGTCACGCAGGACATGGAGGACGAAGACAACTTATCTTGTCGTATTGCAACTGCTTTGCAGGCGGAGTTTTCCTTGCTACAAGTTTGCTAGATCTACTGCCAATGATAGAGGAGAAGTTTAAGGCAGTTTTTAACGAGTCTGGTATTGTGACAGTATTCCCAGTTGCTGAATTYACAACTTGTATGGGTTTTTTTATGGTTTTGCTACTCGAACAAATTGTTCATACTTTTCATGAGCGGTCTTTTTTACATAGCCACAATCATGAGGTCAAAGCACCCCTTTTAGAAGAACAGAATGAACAAAGAAACCGCTACATGCACAGCGAAAGTAACGATGCTTTTTCTACGCGACAAACATCATGCGATTCACAAAAAGAGATTTTGCTCAAGAAAGAGCAACAGACTGAAGGTTCCATTCGTACGTATATTCTTGTTCTCGCTCTATCGATGCATTCCATATTTGAAGGGCTGGCATTAGGGCTGATAGTGGAAGTAGATCGTCTCATTCAGATTACTATAGCAGTTATTATTCACAAATCTATAATTGCATTTGCAATGGGAGTCAGCATGGTACAACATAAAATGGCATTTGGTACAGTCCTCAAGGCTGCTATTATATTCTCTATGATGGCACCGATCGGAATCGGTGTTGGAATTGGTGTACTGGATTCGTCGTCTCTCAAATCAAGTAATCTGGCATCTGGTATTCTTCAAGGTATTGCGAATGGAACGTTTATATTTGTAACTTTTTTTGAAATCTTACAAAGTGAACTGGCTCGCAAAGGCAATCGTCTTCTGAAGGTCTTTTTTATGATTATTGGGTACTCTGTTGTTACTGGGTTACTCTACTATGCAAATATTATGGAGAGTAAATCACACCCTGTCAGTGCAAAGAATTCCACATCTCCTAGCATCAATATACCTGAAGGGGTTGTTTAGTTACAAAAACTTCTTCTTTAAGAATAAAAAGTTTAAAGTTTATACAATATTTTTGGTTAAGTATTAATAGTTATGAAAAGTTATGAAACACTTATATCATGATTATGAATTATTTTGCTTAAGATTATAGTAAATTATGATACAAAGACAACTAGACGCTAAAATATATAAAATATGAAAAACCAACTATGAAAATAAAACTAAGAGAATTAAACTATGGACTTAAGAAATCTGATACACTTAAAATGACGCGCAAAACATTAACAAATCATAGCTACAAATTAAATGTTTTTAGTAGCTAAAATAAACCAATGTAAGGGCCCATCACTAGCAAGCATCAGTGGTTGTTCTTTTGATTTTACAAATACAGAAAATTTCTGTTCACAATCTATGTCTGTGGACTGCCAGCTCATTGTGGCCCTTTAAGTTGATTATATGAAATAGATGCATAGTTGTGTCAAAATACATTTACGATACAGACACAATTGTATTGAGTGGCATTTTGTCGTAGCAGTCTTCTGAATTGATTCAGCTGGCATCTCTTACCTTTTATAGAAATTGTTTTGGGTACTTCCAGCAAGTACATGATGGATATTTATGATTTTGAATTCTGACTGAAAAGACTTCATGTTACTGATAAAGGACACATTGAGAGCAAATGCTAAATTTCAATTCGAAGTAATATCTTAAAATATGAGCAGGAGAGCTTGGCATTAGAATTGCAAGCTACAAGCACATTTATCAAATTCTAAAATAAGCTAAAGAATAATTAGCCAAAAACTTCAAGGTAAAATATCATTTTTAAAGAAAATAGAAGTTAAAGCTGTATGCAAATCATAAAAAATTTCTTGCTGCTTAAGGCAATGATTTTCCATTGAGTTAACCTTATGAACTATTAATAAATTTGAGAAGTTTTTTTTTTTCAAAAATCAAAACAAATGTAAAAAGGAAAGCAATCTAATTTATGTAAAAATACAGAAGAATCAAGCATTACAACACATCACATGATATATTTTGACATTTGTTGGTGTTTAAATTGAACACATCAGGGACCGCGGAGCAGGATCTTGTTTGGGGGGGCTAGCGGCGAGGAGGTACTAGGGGGGTCAGAAATTTCTGAAATCTTAACTCTCGGAAATGCCATTTCCAGCGTTTTTAGGCGTTATCCAAGACATATTTACCACAGACACGGTCATCAATATTATCAATAAAATCCCAAAGACTTCATAAGGAGGCTCTTCGCTTCTTTATTTAAGAAAATTCAAAATGTGGGAAATATTATTGGGGGGGGGCTATAGCCCTCCAGCCCCCCCTGCTCCGCGGTCCCTGCACATATCTAAACTCTCTAATGATTGTCACAACAAGAGGTCTTTAACAGTCTTAGATCAGTTAATGTCACTTTTAAATAAAACATTAAAATCCTAATTATCTAATTATTAGTTGATAATAGTTGATAATTTTATTTATGGAAAATGTAATATTCTAAGTAGTTTCTGTGAAATTTGTTTAGGTGTCCTTACGAAGTAGTTTGAATACGCAATACACAATCTGTCAATTTTATGCAGTAGAACTGCATATAACACTCTTCTGTAAGCATAGTTTGACATTTTTGTACAATATACAAATAGGACTTGAGGCTCAGTTTGGTGTATTTAATGGCAGCTTACATTGTGTAAATAGCATGGCATTCACACTGTACCAACACCATTATTATATCTCGTGCTCTCAAAGAAAAAAAGAATTTTTTCTCAAAGAAAAAAAGAATTTCTTCATTTTTTAATATTTATAAAAAACAGCGACTTTAGAATGCCCCATCAATTTCTGGCTCAATAGAGTTTTGCATATTGGCTCTTTGAAGAACAATGCAGAATTCAACAGATTTTAAAACTATTCATAAAGTTACCGTATTCATAAAGTGAGGGGATATTCTAAAGTTTGATCGRAAAAAAAAGCGACTCCTCCTTCATTTCTTAGGGTGCCTTGACACTGAAGTGGGACAACCTTTCAGTGTGCAAAACTTTCAAACAATTATTCAAACCCATATCTGTCATTGCAAGCTCAACAGTCAGTACTATTCTATCCAGTTTAGTAAATGGTGTTGTTTAAACATCCTCTTGTGTTGAGATTCAGGTACGGAATTCATAATTCTAAATAATTCATCATAATTCATCATAATTCTAAAGTAGTTATATGATTAAAAGAAAAATATTTAAGTATTAATTATCATTTTATTACATGTAAAAGAAGAAGAAATATGATTGACTTTCAAATAAACTTAATACTAGCGATTTTTTAAATGTGTACTGTGGTTAATGTGATATATGATATACCTGATAAATGTACACAGTGGTTAATGTGATATATGATATACCTGATAAATGCGCACGGTGGTTAATGTGATATATGATATACCTGATAAATGTACACAGTGGTTAATGTGATATATGATATACCTGATAAAT